TTACAATGTGATATTGAGCACAGAACAACTTCTTCTTCCAATGATAGTAAAAGGTCAATCTGTATTTCCCACAGACCAGACTGGGCCGTGGCTTCTGGAGAGCTGTGGGAGAGGTGGTGGCATCCAATGCTGCCATGGACTTCCTGAGCTCCACCAGATCCAACCCGGTGTACGACTTTGACTCAGAGCGCGTGGACAGCGCCATAGTGATGTTACAGCAGTTCTGGGATCAGACTCTGCTCTCAGTACAGGCCAGAGAGTACCAAAGTGCTCGTCACAGCTTGGGCAAGCTATTCCATTCCTTGCAGGTACACAGCAGCACCACATGCATCAGCTCTGATGAGTCATTGCTCATGTTAGGAAGCACCAGAGCCAATGTAAAACCATGAAAAATGTTACCTCTAAATAACAATACAATAGTGGCATTAAATGTAGTAGTAGGATCCTCCTCAATCTTGATTAATAGTCCTGATGTAGGGTCAGATAAGTTATAAAAGTTATAAGATAGGCCTACCTTCACTGATATGAGTGGCATTAGTTGTGATGTTATTATTATTATTATTATTATTATGCCAGGACTTCTACAGCCACAGTAACTGGGTGGAGATGGGCCAGCACACTGTTTACCTTCACTTGCTGCAGCCAGAGGAGCCTGCTGTCCCTGTGGCTGCAGGTAATTCATATCTTCATGTCTGTAATTACCCAGATGCCCACCTTATCACACCAACAAGTGAATCATGATTCAGCATTACTGGTTACTGATTTTCAGCAGAAACCTAAGATGATTATCTATACAATTCACAGATTTTATTATTATTATATTAGGTTTCATGCAATTGCATGGTGGGGGTGGGGACAATGATCTTACTTACCTTAACACTGATCAACCTCAACCAAACCCTCATTCTTTCTGTCCACAGAAGACATTTCTACCTGTATGGAGTGTTTCAGTGTCACCTGTCGAAACAACCTCCTGCCAAGACCAACAGCCACACAGCAAGGTTCCCAGCTGCTCACCACCGGTTACTTCAGCACCTTCCCTCCAAAACCTGAGGGTGTGTCCACCACCAAGAGATGCAGTTCTGCAAATAGCCAAAGGATAAGTCAATTCAAATGAAAACAATTTTCTGTATAGAGTGTTTTAATGGCTTTTTATTTTTCAGGCAAATGTAGTCATGGAGGTATTCTGGACAGTAGCCGCTACATGGGGGCTAAAGGGGGCATCAACAAGGACAGCACCTCACCTTTCTTCTCCCCTCACCATTACCTCCATATGGAAGCTGCAACTTTGGCTACAGAAGCCACCCTGAGTGTACTGAGAGACCTCAGAGACTCTGTGGGCCACAAAACCTTCCTCAAGTCAGTTTCAGTCACTGTTACATTTCCCAGTATACAGAACACTGAATAATATATGAAGCCCTACAACTTCTCAATTTTCAGCAGTGTGTATTTAGGACATATTTTCTTGCAAACATCTTTGTTGGCAGGCTCTTCAGTGTGAAACATGTCCCTGCACTGGTATTTGTCATGGACACTACAGGCAGCATGTTTGAGGAGATCACCGCTGCCCGCTTCCGGGCGTACTCCATCATCCAGAGCCGACCCAACAGCTCTGGGCAGCCCGGCACCTTTCTGCTTGTACCCTTCCATGACCCAGGTGAGGTTACAGATATTTGTAAAAGCCTGGAATGAAAACAGTGCTGTACAGAGCTGGAAATATTTGCCTAAAGAACTGGGCTGAATCTATAAATAATCTCTGTGAGACTTTCTCTTATTGACTTGGGACCATAATGGTCTTTTACCACTTATCCATGAGCTGTTTGTTGCTTTTGTTCATGAAACAATAATAATCTAGATTTTACACACCTGTGCTGTGGTGCTCCATAGAGTACTGTGGTATCCACACACTTTTAGACTTTTGACTTTTT